TTTGTGAGAATTAGGAATTTGATGGTAAACTATATTAGATTTGTTGAATGACTGGGGTGAGTAAGTAGAGATGAAATTTTGCTTATTTATAAATGGGAAGGGACATATGCTCTTCCTGGCCAAGAACGTAGTTAGCTCCACAATCTGCCTGTATGCCACCACTTCTGCATTTTGTAGAACTGGAAAGATGAATACACAAAATCTCTCTAAAGGCCTTCTGTTACTACCTCAAACTATTTTAGTCAAGTCCTGTCTGGATTGCAGCTTCTCATTCTCTTTTTTCCCCACAACTGAGCATTTGATTCCAACCTGCAGCCTTAATAATGCTGCCGTCTGTGGAATTTCTACAGTTCTTACGTAAGAGAGTTTTAAATAGTTATAATCTAGCACTTTGGGATACATAATTACTTACTTTGCTACTAATGTAAACTGGCCTTTGCCCCATGTGTGAAATGGGGCTTTCACTTCCCTTGAGGTACTATATATTAGAGTGCAGTTCAATTAGCAAGATGCCTGCTTCTCCAGTGCCTGTAGAACTGAAAGGAAGCATTGTTCTTTCCAGTTTCCTTCTTTTTTCCTCTTTCTTTTTCTTTCAGTGTAGTTCAGCCATTTATTGAGAGGTATGCCAGAGATCCTAAGTTATGAACAGGTATGCTATAGGGAATGTACAACGTTATCTCATACGTAGAAGGACAATTCTTCTAAACAAACAGTGGGAGAAGAACTGATGCAGAGCCCATTCAATGTTTCACTTAAAATCATGTGTATTCCAGTAGCTATTTCATGGGCTTGAACCTCTGTTGCGGTGCTTGATTCATGTAACAGAGTTTCACTTAAACCTGGTGGGAGATCATCAGGGAGAAACAGTGTATTATCTGAAGTTCCAGGAAAAGTCAGTAAAACTGGTATAGCCAGTATCTGAATTTACTGGATGTTAGGTATGAAATTAAAAGTATGCTTTGTGATTATGAGAACTCAGTCTTAGAGCTCTATTTTAAATTTGTAGTGATTTTAGGTTAGCACTTTAAACTTTTAGAGCCAGATTTTTTGAGGTATAATTTATTTACAGTAAAATTCAGCCCTTTGAGATATATATTTCAGTGAATTTTGAAAACATAGTTATAAATCTACCACCATAATGAAGACATAGAATATTTCCTTCACTCCAAAAAGATCCTGTCTCATTTGTAGTTAATCCTCTTGTTTTAGACCAGCCCTTAGCAACCATTGATCTGATTTCTGTCCTCGTAATTCTGCCTTTTCCAGAATGTTATATAAATGAAATCATATATAGAAGTGAACAAACTATGGCCTATGGGCCAAATCTGGTCATTGCTTGTTTTTGTATAACTAGTGAATTAGGAATAGTTTCTACATCTTAAAATGATCAAAAAAAATTTTAATAATAATGTTTGAGACTATAAAAATGAGAAGAAATTCAAATTTCAGTGTCCATTAAAAATATTTTATTGGAACATAGCCACACTCATTCATTTATATCTTGCCAATGGCTGCTGTCTGGTTCATATTTTTTATATCCTATTGAAGGAATACTTGCCTGACCTATATAAGAAGTATTTGTTTAAAGGTCACAATTTTCTTGAATGTTTTCTTCTAGAAGTTTTATTGTTTTTAGTCATTATAGTTAGTTCTATAATCCATTAAGTTGATTTTTATATAAGGTATGAGATATGAGTTGAGGTTCACTTTTTTTTATACATAGATTCCCAATTACTTTTTGCATACATGAATTTCCCATTGCTGACCTGACTATTCTTTCTCCACTGAATTACCTTGGTACCTTTTTTTTTTTTTTTTTTGATAAGTATTTTTTATTGAAGGGTAGTTGACACACAGTATTACATTAGTTTCAGGTGTACAACACAGTGATTCAACATTTATATACATGATAATTCTAGGTACCAGCTATCACCATACCAAGTTGTTACAATATTTTGACTATATTTCTTATCCTATACATTACATCCTGGTTACTTATTTATTTTACAATTGGAAGTCTGTACTTTTTTTTTTTTTTGTGAGGGCATTTCTCATATTTATTGATCAAATGGTTGTTAACCACAATAAAATTCTGTATAGGGGGGTCAATGCTCAATGCACAATCATTAATCCACCCCAAGCCTAATTGTCGTCAGTCTCCAATCTTCTGAAGCATAATGAACAAGTTCTTACATGGAGAACAAATTCTTACATAGTGAATAAGTTACATGGTGAACATTACAAGGGCAGTCATCACAGAAGCTTTTGGTTTTGATCATGCATTATGAACTATAAACAGTCAGTTCAAATATGAATATTCATTTGATTTTTATACTTGATTTATATGTGGATACCACATTTCTCTCTTTATTATTGTTATTTTTAATAAAATGCTGAAGTGGTAGGTAGATACAAGATAAAGGTAGAAAACAGTTTAGTGTTGTAAGAGAGCAAATGTAGATGATCAGGTGTGTGCCTGTAGACTATGTGTTAATCCAAGCTAGACAAGGGCAATAAAACATCCACGTATGCAGAAGATTTCTCTCAGAATAGTAGGGGGGAGGTTCTAAGCCTCACCTCTGTTGATCCCCATTTTCTCACCTGATGGCCCCCCTGCGACTGTGCCTGTCTTAGGTTGTTCCTCCCTTGAGGAATCTTACCCGTCTCTGGCTAACCAGTCATCTTCCGGGGCCATACAGGGAAATGTTAAGTTGGTAAGTGAGAGAGAAGCCTTATTGTTTGAAAAGGTTAGCTTTTTACTTCTTTGCATATTTTATTCCCTGTGGCTTCCATGCCCAGCATTTGTCTTGAGGTATCTTTACCACTTGGAAGAATTATGATACTCGGTAAATTTGATATGAGGCACGAATTCTACTTAAGGGTTATAATTATGAAGGAAGAAGAAAAGCTATAGAAGTAGCAGGCGGAAGAAAACCTGGGAAGATTGATTATTTCTTTGACATATCTTCTTATAGAGTAACTTCAGCATGTATAGGTTTTAAACTACTAATTAAATTGCACACACACACATTAACATAAACATAATACGACCTTGGTACCTTTTTAAAAAATAATTAATGACCATCTAAGTATTAGATTATTCTGGGCTCTATTCTGCTACATTGATATGTGTGTTTATTCTTTGCCAATACCATATTGACTTGATTACTTCTGTAGTTTTTGAAGTAAGTCTTGAAATCAGGTAGTTTGAGTCCTTCCACTTTCTTTTTCAAAATATTTTGCCTATTCTCAGAATTTTGCTTTTCCATATAAATTTAGACTTAGCTTGTTAATTTCTTCAAAAAATCATGCTGAGATTTTTATTGAGATGACATAAAACCAGAAGATCAATTTGGAGACAATTGTTATCCTAACGATAATGAGTCTTCTTGTTATACAGTGTATTTTTCCTATTTACATGTCCTTTGATTCTTTTTCACCATGCAGGAGTGGTAAGGGACTTCTGCTATGTTTTTCGATTGTCCATCTTTGACAGGCCCTTCAACCTAGGGCCTTACAGATAAGGCTTGCACAGAGTTCCTAGCCTCTTCTTCCCATGGGAGAAAAATCTACCTTGTAACTTTGGTTTGGAGTGAGAGTCTGCACTCCTCCCCTAGTGATAAAAGAGGCCTTTGATATTTGGATTGAATTTTCATGAAGATGGTTTCTTGTCCTTCTTTCACAGGTAGAGTGTTTCTAGCTTTCAGTCTTATCTCTGGCTGCAGGGGGTCTTTGGCTTTGCCTGTGGGATGACCAGAGTTTACCCCTCTCTCTGTAGCTTAGAGCTTTGGCTTTTTTAGGAGTGATTGTCTGGGGAATTGTGCCTATGCTCTAGGAGCCGCTGGTCACCACTTTTACATTTGTACCTGTGGATCCCTGAAGGACTCTTTGTTTTTCCACCCTACTCCCAGTCTTCCTCATGAGTGGAGGCCTGCCGAAAAGTGTTTGTGAGCGAATGTGAACTTCCCTTGAATCTGGGCCCCTAGCTATTCCATACTGTCATGATAGTTCATGCTTGGCCTTTTACTATTTGTTGAAGTTTTAACTGATTTCCTCTTGCCTGGCTGTATGGTAGCCTCCTCTTTTTCCTGTGCTCAGCCAAAGGTGAAACAGTATGTCCTGCTTTTCTTTGGAGGGCTTGTTGCTCTTTGGAGGCCAGATTGTTTGCTTTATAACCTTAACTCTCAGATGGGCTCAAGAAAAGTTATGATTTTATAAATTATTTAGCCTTTTGTCATTTTTAGGATGGGAGTGGCATTATTTACAGTTTGTAATGCTAAGCAGAACTAATTACAGTTTTAAAGTATTTTTAATTTTCCTTATAAGGATAGTAGAAATGAAAAGGTTTATCACTACTTATTTTTAGCTAGAGTAAATAATACCTTTTATTTTAATTTTTTTTATCCTTTATTTTTAAGGTAAAACTTGGCCTTTTATTTATACAGCCTTATTTAGTAGACTCCTAATATTTCAGTGTTTTTATAGCCAACTAATGTCCAGACTGTTAAACAGATTTAAACAGTTAGTGAGAGCACTCATCCAGTGTTTTTCCCTCTGTTTGGATTTTTAAGATCACTCCAGTTGAGATTCCGTGTCATTGATTTGAAGTTAATAGGTTTTGGCTTCATTGTGTATGTTAAATTAGCTCTGTCTGTTTGGGAAGTTAAACTGTTGAAAAATAATATTGTAAATATATTAGGGCATATGATTGAAAATATATTGAAGATGGTAGGCAGAAATTTTACAATTATGATTGAAAGAAATATCTCCATGAACATATATTGTATTAATTGGTTCTTAAATTAACATGTATATCAGAAGGCAGAATTAGTTGTATACTTTTATCATGTGGAATGCCATATTCTATAATCAGAATTAAATTTTTATTCTTTATTTTATCCTACAGATATTTTGGATATAAAATTGTGTCCACAGATTGTGATTGTTATTATTTATTTTAAGACCATCAAGAAACCAGATTTTTCTTGTTTCCTTTGCAGAAAACTTCATCAGCAGTTTGAAATGTATAAGGAACAGGTAAAGAAGATGGGAGAAGAATCACAGCAGCAGCAAGAACAGAAGGGTGATGCCCCAACCTGTGGTATCTGCCACAAAACAAAGTTTGCTGATGGATGTGGTCATAACTGTTCATATTGCCAAACAAAGTTCTGTGCTCGCTGTGGAGGTCGAGTGTCATTACGCTCAAACAAGGTACAGCATGAAAATTGCATATAGTAATTCTCTTATAATTAAGCTTAGTGTAAATAAAAGAAGACATCTGAAATTAATATTGAAGTTAACCAGTGAACAAACACCTTCTCTTCATTTTACATAAAAGAAATTTTTAATTTTTCCCTCTCAGTTAAAAAAAATTTTGTCTTTTTGTCCTTTAGCTTATGATTTTGTTTAGAATCATATGACCTCAGACTTTCAAAGAAAATGAAGAAAACTCAGAAATCAATTGGACTAACTCTTTTATTTTACAGATGAAGAAAACTCAGAGCTAGAGAGACTAAAGTTCATTCTTGAAGTCACAAAACTCATTGTTAGAGCAGTGACACAGCTTTTTCCATTACTACATATATTTTACAAACTTTGTAGACCCACTCTTCCTTTTGCCCATTTTCTTTCCTTTCGAAAGGAGGCTCTTTCTAGCTTTGAGATTCTGTTTCATAATTTTATAGCTTTTGAAGCTACATTATCCTTTATTTTTATTTTCACATCAATGAAATAAACATCAGACTGTGGAATTTTAAGAAGAAATCTTAAGGAGGCATTTGTTTAGATTCTTGCGGTTTATCCATCCACTTTGGGGATTATGTTAATGCTACCCAAGAAATGCTTTGTTGAAATTAACAAAAGCAGTATTTTTAAGTGTTCATCTCAGTTAGTTCTTTAGGATTGCGTTCATCTTCTCATTAGTATTTTATCACTAGTTTTAAAATAGGAAGCTGATGTCTTTGCGTGCATTACTTTGACATAATTATGGGAATTTGCTTCCTTGTGTGATTTCATTTCTCCATTTTCTCATTTCCTTTTCTCATTATTTTGATTTGCCCAGAACTAAAAACTTTTCTTTATTTTTCCTAATCTTTCCCCTTGATTTATCTGATATTTTTTTCTCCCCTTGACTGGTTACATTGACTAGAAACTCCATTAAAATTCTGAATAGAAGTAGTAAGAGCAGGTATCCCTGTTTTGTTCTTGATCTTAGGGAGAAAGCATTCAGTCTTTCATTTTTAAGTATTATGTTAGCCGTCAGCTTTTCATAGATGCTGTCTATTCGTAATTTGCTAAGAGGTTTTACATATGTATATATATATATGTGTGTGTGTATGTGTGTGTATGTATATCAGGAATAGATGCTGGATTTTGTCAAATGCTTTTCCTCCATCTATTGAGATTAATTATTTGTTTTTTTCTTTCTTTGTTTATATGGTAAAGTACATTGATAGATTTTAAAATGTCAAAACAACCCTGTATTCCTGGGATAAACCACATTTGGTTGTGATACATTATCCTTATTATGTATTAATGGGTATTATATACACACACATATATATGTATACATATATATATACACACACAAATATAATAGGGTTTATTGGATAAAAATTTGTTTACAGTTTTTGTTTTTATATTCATGAGGGTTAGTGTTTATAGTTTTCTTATAATGTCTTCCTTTGGTTTTGGTGTCAGAGTAATTCTGACCTCATGGAATGAGTTGGGAAGTATTTCCTTCTCTTTAGTATTTTAGGAGAGTTTCTGTAGAATTGGTATTATTTATCCTTTAATGTTTTGTAGATTTTATCAGTTAAGCCAACTGGATATGCAGTTTTATTTTTTTGGGATGGTTTTAAAGTATTTTCATTTCCTTTAATAGATATAGGGTTATTCAGGGTATCTATTTTTTCTTGAATGAACTTTGGTAGTTTGTATTTTCATGGAATTTCTCCAGTTCCTCATAAGTTGTCAAAAATATTGGCATAAACTTTTTCATTATTGTATTCCATTATTATTATTTTAACATCTGTAGAATCTGTTATAATGCTACTCCTTTCATGCCTAATAATGGTAGTTTGGTTTTCTCTTTTTTTCCCTTGCTCAATCTGGTTAGATACTTGCCAATCTATTGGTCTTCTCAAAGAACCAGCTTTTTGTTTCATTGATTTACTCTATTGTTGATTTTGTCTTTGATCCTTATTATTTCTTTTCTTCTGCTACAGTGGGTTTAATTTTCCCTTGTTTTTCTTTTGATTTCTTAAGGGGAAAACTAAGGTCATTGTTTGAGATGTCTCTTCTTTTCTAATATAGGCATTGTGTGCTGTCAGTTTCCCCTAAATATCAATATGTGACAATTCAGTGACATCCCCAGATTTCCAATATGTTGTCTTTTCATTTTCGTTCAGTTAAAAATGCTTTTTAATTTTCCTTTTCTTTTGTAGCCCAGAATAATTTAAAGTATGTTGTTTTTTCCCCAAATATTAGGTAGGGGATTTCCAGAGATCTTTCTGTTAATGATCTTTAATTTAATTCTATTATGGTCCTGGACACTTGGCCTTGAATCTTTTGAAATATATTGATATTTATTTTATGGCCCAGAATATGGTTTATTTTGGTAAATGTTCTGTGTATATTTAAAAAGGATATATATTTTATTTTTTGGTAGTGTTTTTAAATGTTCATCAGGTCAAGTTCGTTAATAAGAGTGTTGGAGTCTACTGTGTCCTTGTTGATTATCTGCCTATTTATTCTATCAATTATTAAGGGAGGGTTTTGAAATATACAGCCATATTTGGATTTGTCTTTTTCTCTTTGCATTTCTAACAGTTTTTATTTTATGTATTTTTAAGCTCTGTTTTTAGGTGCATAAACATTTGGAATTATTATGTCCTATTAATTAATTGACCTTTTTATAACTATTAACTGATTTTCCTTATTCCTGGTAATATTCTTTGCTATGAAATCTACTTTATCATATCTTAATATAGCTACTCCAAGTTTCCATTGGATAGTATTAATATGGTTTATTTTTTTGTATTCTTTTCTGTTAAACTAATTTGTGTCTTCATATTTTAAGTATTTTTCTTATAGGCAACATATAGTTAGGCCTTGCTTTGTTATGCAACCTGACAATCTCTGCATTTTAATTGAAGTATTTATGCAGTTTACATTTAATATGATTATTGATATGGTTAGGCTTTATTATATGATTTTGCTCTTTTTTTTTTCAACTTTACTCTCCCTTTTACTGTTTCCACTTAGAGTTTTCATGTCTCTAACATTGTGTATTTACTCCTGTTACATGAAAACATAGTTTTCATGTCTAGAATTTCAATTTTGGACTTAAAAAAAATCTTCCATGATCTATTTAGCTTTTTGAACATGGAGAATACATTATTTGTAATAATCTTCTGATGTCCCCCTCTAGTAATTCTAACATCTCTGTCAGTTTTCAGTTGGTTTTGACTGATCATTCTTATTATGGCATATATTGTACTGACTTTCTGTGGTTGGTATCTTATGTTGAATGCCAGGCATAAATTTTATTTTCTTGGATGCTGGGTATTTTTGCATTCCTATAACTCTTCGTGAGTTTTGTTCTGGGATACAGTTAAGTTACATGAACACAATTTAATTTCAACTTGTATCATCTGATTTCTTTTTTCTAGTCTTCTTTTGGATTAATCAAGTAATTTTTATGTCTCAGTTTTATCTCCTTTGTTGACTGTTTGGTAGTTTTGTTGGCTCTGTTTTGTTATTAGTTGCTTCAGGATTTGTAGTGTACATCTTTAAATTATTGTAGTCAAGTTTAACTGATATTATATCATTTCATGTATATTATAAGAAATTTATAATAGTATACTTCCATTTCTACCCTTCTGGACTTTATGTTATGGGTGTCATGTATTTTACCTTCACCTATTTTATGAGGCCTACAATACATTGGTACTATTTTTTGTTTAAAAAGAAATCTTTAAAGGAGCTTTAAATAATGAAAGGAACATTGTGTATTTACTCTTGTTATTACCATTTCCGGTACTGTTAATTTCTTTTTTGTAAATCTGTATTTCTATCTGGTGTTGTATTTGATCTGCAATACATTGGTACTATTTTTTGTTTAAAAAGAAATCTTTAAAGGAGCTTTAAATAATGAAAGGAACATTGTGTATTTACTCTTGTTATTACCATTTCCGGTACTGTTAATTTCTTTTTTGTAAATCTGTATTTCTATCTGGTGTTGTATTTGATCTGCCGAAAGGATCTCCTTCAATATTTCTTGTAGTGTGAGTCTATTGCTAATGAATCCTTTCAACTTTTTGTGCTGGGATTTTACCTTTTGTTGCTAAAAGATATTTTTGCTAGGTATAGAATTCTAGATTGACAGTTATTTTCTTTTATTATTTTGAAGATTTACGTTACTACCTTCTCCCTTTTACTGTTTCCATTTAGAGCGATACCATCCTAATCTAATTTATGTAATGGGTCTTTTATGTCTGATTGCTTTTAAGACAATCTTTTTATCACTAGTTATGTGTGACTTAATTATGTTTTTTGGTATATTTTTCTTCATCTTTCTTGTGTTCAGTTTTTTTTTTTTGAGCCTTTTGGATCTGTGAATTTAGTTTTCATAGGGCGTTGGAAAATTTTGACCATCGCTTTTTAAGATATGTTTACTGACCCCTCTTCTCTCTTTTCTCCTTCAGGGACTCCCATTATTCATACATTTAGCTGCTTGAAGTTGTCCTACAGCTCACTTACATTCTTTTTGTTAAAGCAAATTTTCTTTTTCTCCATTTTCCATTTTGTATGTTTTCCATTTTGTATTGCTATGCCTCAAAGTGTAATGATCTTTTCTTTTACAGTGTCAAAATTTAATATCATTCAATATATTTTTTCATCTTAGACATAGTTTTCATGTCTAGAATTTCAATTTTGGACTTAAAAAATATCTTCCATGATCTATTTAGCTTTTTGAACATGGAGAATACATTATTTATAATAATCTTCTGATGTCCTCCTCTAGTAATTCTAACATCTCTGTCAGTTTTTGGTTGGTTTTGACTGATCATTCTCATTATGGCATATATTGTACTGACTTTCTGTGGTTGGTATCTTATGTTGAATGCCAGGTGGAAATTTTATTTTCTTGGGTGTTGGATATTTTTGCATTCCTATAACTCTTCGTGAGTTTTGTTCTGGGATACAGTTAAGTTACATGAACACAATTTAATGCTTTTGCATCTTTTATGATATGTTAGTTGAATCTGGAGCAGTGCTCAGTTTAGCACTAATTATTCTTTTTCTGAGGCAAGGCTTTCCTGAATTCTTTAACCAATGTCCCATGAATTAAGAGTTTTTCTAGTCATGGTGGTGGGCAGATCCATTGTTCTGTCTAATCCTTTCAGGTGATTTTTTTCCCCACTCTTGTGTATTTTGTCACATACATACTCACTGATCATTACTAAGTGGAATACTTATAGGGACTCTCTGCAGTTCTCAGCAT